CCCCCTATGCGAGTTGAAGGTGTTGGAAAAGAGCCTTAGTTGAAGTGTTTAATATAGATACTTAAGAACAAGAAAAAAGATTTTAGTGTTTTGAAAATAAAAGTTGAATAATAGCCTTAGTGGATAAGCCATAGGTATCATCTTGCCTACATCGTACCTTACAAATAAATAGTTCACGATATGAGTCATTTTCAATGTGGGAGAAAAGTGGCAGAGCGAAGAATATGGTTACCTAACAGTTTCAATATCAGTTAAGGAGATTTACTTTTTTGGGAGTGCAATGGGTTGTAGACTTTGTGCCGGTATGCATTTACAGTTGCACGGCTTCAGCGGGGCCACTGCAATTTATTCGGTTTATGGGCTCACTGAAGTCTGCAGCGCCTGTTCACCAGTAGGTGTGGCTGCAAGCAGGCGTCTGTCTTGGAGCAAGCGGCTCGCTACATAAACACATCTATTCGGTTGCGAAACCACCCCCTTTTCGGCAATAGGTTCTGCGCTCTGCTTTGGACCCGCCACGTAAAAACCCCTTCCAGTGGAGAAATTCAACAAAGCCTCATATGAGACCCCCCGTTCGATGACGACCACGGCAAACGTGTTTGGGACTATGATTTGAGGGCATGCACTTGCAATGTCCGGACCCTTAATTGAGAAGGTGTCACTCCGGTGGACGAACGTCTAGCCACAATCACAGCAGTGGCACCACATTTCCCGTTCATTAAGTACCGCCGCCGAAGAAGTAGTCGGTTTACAGCGAACCCGAAAGAACAACTGGTACGTTGAGGAGTTTCAAGAAGCTGCAGGGAAAAAGGATGCCGCCTACAGGGCCATGCTTCGATCGGGCGCAACGCGAGCCATGTGGGACCATTATAGGGAACTGAAGAGGGAAGCGAGACCTTCTATAAGAGATAGTTATTTATCCCTTTAAGCCAGCGACGATGAGAGAAAATTTATACTTTTTGGGCGACCATATACTATACAAATAATCCAAAGAAAGCGCCACATTCAGCAATAAAAGCTTCTCCAGTGAATGCTTTAAGCTGCTAAAATTCCACCCGCCTTTTCTTTACGCAATTTGATATTCTCTCATAAGTGCCTGCTAATAATATTCATCGATTTCTAACTAAAGTAGAAAACAAGAGTCCACCCTTCCAAAAACGCCTTAATAAATTGACGCTTTTATCAAAGTGTTTAATTAAGCAATTTATAAAAAGGTTCACAATTGAAATAAAATGTAAATGCAAATTAAAGCCGCGTCTCTAAATTGAATATTAACTAATTCCTTTTATAGTTTGCTATAAGTTGAAAAATTTATTTCAGACGTTCTTGCTTTTGTTTTTTGTTTAGTAATTTGTCAATTTGTTTTTGCTGCCACTCTGCCTGTTCGGCCTTTGCGTTGTCTCTAAAATTAAGCAAATTCGATAATTAGGCCCACACAAGTAGCGCGAGTTTGCAAGTTCACAAGGCTGTCAAGTTCTGCTATTAGAAAATCATCGATAAAATACGATTACATATTTAGTTATAGAAATAAACAACCGCTTTTATTTGGCAAATTATCATTTTTATTTATTGTAGTAATTTGTATTCATTTGTGTTGCGTTGTTCGTCGCTTTCGGTTTTCTTTTACTTTGTTCCAAATTTGCATGCATTTTTTTTTAATGTAAAATATTTATTTATTTTTTTTAACTTGAATTTTTAAGATTTATTCATTTAAAATAAATAGAAGAGAAACAAGTTCAATTTTTATTTATGTATGTAAGTATGAATGGAGTTATTCGTATACATAAAGCAAAGCACAGCGTAACAACAAAAAATTAAGTTAAAATTAAATATCTTAAATACAAGTTTGTCATACTATAATTAATTATATTTTAGAGGTTATGAATCAATTTACAAGTTTATACGTATGTACATATGCATATTTACATATACATATTATTTTTAATATTTTAATATATTTTTATTTTATTTACATATTAGTGTTTTTTTCATATTAGCTACGACTAGAATTTTTTGTATCGCTAAAAAGTAATAATTTATTGTTTTTGAGTAGAGCTTTCGGCTTCAATATTTTATTTATTTATTTATTTTTAATAATTTTTTATGCTTTGCGAGCCCTACTCTACTTTTCACTACGTTTGGCTTATAGAACAGTTTTCATTTATCAAACTTTTTTTTTGTTTCCAATTATTTTCTGAACTTAAATTATTTTATGTAATTTGTAACTGGTTTCTTGTAATCGGTCGCTGTGTGGGTGTAGATCAATGAGGGCAACGGAAGGTCAAAATTTGAGGACAGTCTTTCTGTTATTCTTCAAAAACCTGCGCAGCAGAGCTTTTAATAAGATGCCTGGATCAACAGGTTTACAAAAAAAATAGATTGTTGATGCTCTCTGCAGTAATCTCTCAACTCTCAAGAAATATATTTGTCTCGGTAAAGTGTAACTTTATGAAAAGACGGGCTTAAAATAAAATTTGAAGATATTGGTTAAGTTATGATTTTTATTGTAAAAGTCGTAACCGTTGCGGTCCCTGCGCAAACTTTTCATATACTCGAATTCTCCCCTTTTCATTTTTTAGACATTCCTCTTAGATCATCTCTAATCGTTATTGTGCCTTAAGATTAAAGGAAAACTTTTTGTTCTAATCGGACATTTTACAGACAATTTATTAAAGTATTTTCAATTAAAGCCCACCGTGCATAATCATTAAAGGACCCTTTATGGATTAACTATATCATAGTCAATTTAAACTCTATATAAGCGGAAAATAACAAAGTTGAGATTAGAATTTTAGAATTTTTTGGAGACATGAAAGCAACATATACTAAATCGACTATGAAACAGTTGTTTATAAAATTACAAATTTTACTCTACTAATGTAATATTTTAACACAGAATTATGATTATGCAACCACAATAAGATACGCCAGCAATTCACTGGCACAGTAGTATGTCAAAAAAAATATATAACACTAAGGAACCCTCAGAAACTCAAGCGTCTCCGTTTTATGTTGCATAGCGATGATGTAGGAGTTGTAGCGTTTTTAGCCGTCAAAGAATTGTTTCTCCTCGGTGCCTTTTGCTCTTCGCTTTCAGTTACTGCCTCAGTGTCACTATAATCCGACAATGGCGAGTCTGTTTCAGAGTCCACAACTGCAGCTTCCCTTCCAACATCTATGTCAGATGATACTTCTTCGATTGACAACTCTTTGATCTTTACTGTACTCTCGCCTTCTTCTTCTTCTTCCTCCCCCTCCTTCTCCTCCTGCCTTTGTTGTGCTTCCCATATACTTCGTTGGATCAGAAGTTTTGCTTGCCGTTGTAGCTTTTCTTTCCATTCACGTTCTTCTTCCTTTGCCAGCCAATGTTCAAGCAAAGATACATTGCCACATCTTATTTGTGACATTTCGGCCCAAAGATCCATTTAAAATTTGTGTAATAAAATTTTCGCAGATCAAAATAAACCAACGTTCTGCGCGCTTTCAATAATGATTTTGTCTTATCTATGCCAGTTCTGGCAGTGTTTTATATGATTTGGATTTGGTTATTTTGTTGATTACGTTTTTTACCTGTACTAAATTTGCGCGAAAATGTATCATTTTATTTGCACCTGCGCTAGTTAGTTGTTGGTTGTGTAAATTAAGGCATACTTTTTCAAGGTAATTCAGCATCAGTTGGGCTACCTGTGGAAGGGGTAAGAGCTGTGCTAGTAAGCCAGAATTATGTATGTTTGTATGCTCTCTAACGCGCTCATTAACACATTAATTGCTGGTCGAGTGTTTTTTTTTAGGATTTTATGATGAATTTTTAGATTCAATGTTATATACTCGCACGAGAAACATTTCTTAAATAATTGTGAAAGAAAAATCTCAAAAATTAAGGTACAAGTACAGACATAAATAATTAAAACTTTATAAGAGATTTTATTTTTGTGAAAGTTAGTTTTAACTTAACCCATACTTTTAAAAATTAACAAAAACATAAAGTTAAATAAAATAAATATTAAAATATACATTTCTTGACCAAAAGAGAAGACTTAAGTAACAGTGGTTTCAAGCACGAGTATAGTTTTTCTTTCAGTGGTTACAGAACTAACAGTTAAATGGATAATCCACCCCCCCGGCTCAGCGAACTGCAATTACTTGGTGAATAGTAGTGATTTTGATCTTATGAAGAAATTTAAGTAAGAAATAATCATAGAGTACCCCAAAAAATAAATTAGGTATCAAGATAAAGTCCATGGGCTGTTAAAAAATAAAACAAAACCCCTCCGTTCTTCTCCGTTTGTGAAAATCTAGGCAACGCTCAGTTGAAAGTGAACTTAAGTAAGAAAGCGATACTTGCAGGTAGCGCTTTAATAATATACATCTGAGGTCACCCACGTAAAAACCTTTTACAATTAAAATTTTCAATATCCAAACCTCGACTGCGGCCTTCACCTCATGATGGAAACATGAACTCGACTGCACCTGGATCGCTCGTTTTCTTAATGAGAATGGATATAAAACTTTACCTGTAGGCGTTAGCTGTTTTCCCAGTTAGTCTATCAAAGCCGTCTCCAAACAAACAGATTTAGATACCTAGGTGTATTGTTAAAAATTTGGTGGTTAAATTTACCAGTACTTTGATATGGGTACCAGGTCATTGTTACATACCGGATAACAGCTTAACAGACGAACTTGAAAGAGAAGGCATATTCATTTCTACAGCATATATATACCACTACATATTACATTAAAGTGGCAAATAAAAGATGGTTGGAAGAAATTAACTAGGCTCATCTGACCCAGGTTGATTAAGGAGAAGCCCAGAGCTTCGCTCCTTTTGGAACGCTACGTGGGGTTCTAGTGGTAATAACTTACCACTGCAGAATGGGATTTCCAGTGTACGACTACTGTCTAGATGACGGAGGAAATCGAAGGCATGCAGTACATCCTCTGTCAGCTTTAGCTAAACTGAGATAACGAAAGTCTGCGATTTAGAATGCTTCATAAACGTTTGTAATTGGTTCTACTTCTCGGTATATGAACGGAATAAACTACGATCCAAAACTGTATCACAATGTGCCATTAAGCTTACGTGTGTCATCCTCCAGGATCTATTTGATTACAGCCACCATAACCAATAACATATGTATATATTCTTTAATGGGGAATTCGCCTCTACCCGGCTAGTTGATGTATTGTTGAATGTCTAAGATAAGGACGAAACGGTGTAAGAAGATCATATGACCTTAGGACATTTGCTACATCTGCCACATAAAGGAGCGCAAGTTCCGCATAAAAGGAGATTCTTTAAGCTCGCGCTCAGTGGCTGAAGATTTTAAGCTAAAGCTTAAGGATGACGCGACCATAGACAATTGAAGTCAAGGTCGGGAAGGTACCTTTGGCTTCGCGGTCGAATGGGCTCCACGATCAAACATCTGTTAACCAACTGCGGCTGATCGTCTTCCCTGGGAAATTGATATAAAATAGTCTGCACGCTCTTTTTATTAATTCGGCTTGCATTCTCGACAATTCAGAGATTTAGAGAGATGTCTTTCACGTAGTCATTTAGTCGAAGTCGACATACAAACCTTGATCTCTCAGGATCAGTTCTGCTTATCGAACTCCTTCATGACTTAACCAGCAAAGAAACTACCTTTACCGTTCCGGCCAGCAGCGCTACGTCTAGCTAAAGAATGCTTACAAGAAGGCGCATCCCTATCGAATAACAGGAACGATGGGACTCATCTACCACGACGATAGATTTATAGGCCCAACCCCAATCAATAGGGCATATGAAGAGTTTGACACCCACATCACGACCTTTTTTTATCTGGTGATTTCTGCTTAAGATACTACTACATTTGTATACATATATACAATCAATATGGCTAGTGGGAAACCCGCCTGTCGGACGTGCCAAAGCCGTGGTGCGTGTTGAGTTTTACTCTCCCGATTTTATTGCCGAAAGAAAAATGGAATTCCAACCAAAGCTGACTTCTACCCACACAGCGTTCTTTACTCTACCACTCTTCATGTCAACCTAATATCCGAAAATTCTAGGTATTAAATATTTTGTACATCATAATTTACACGCGTATACATTTCGTTAATACATATTTTCTATAAATTAAGTTAGTTACAGTTTTTCGTTGCATATAGTTATGTTTTCTTCACTTGAAGACGTTTTATTTACCATCACTTTGTGCTCTGCACCTACGTGGACACAGTAGTCGTTGTTGTTGCACCACCATTTCTCGCCTCTGCCGCTGCATTTTCACGCTCCTGTAGTTCTTGTAACTCTTCCTCCTCGCGCGTCAACGGTATCGTCGAGTGATTATACAGCCCCTGTGCCATTAGTTGTAATGCCAAAGGATTTTTGTGTCCACTCGACTTTTTCAGTTTGGCACGCTTATTTTGAAACCAAATTTTTATTTGCGCTTCATTTAGACCCAATTCGGAACTGAGCTGTTGGCGTCGTTTTTCGGTCAGGTAGCGATTCTCGGTGAACTCGTGCTATAGGGCGAAACAAGAAGGAACAAATTACAAATCACAGTAATTGTAAAACTATGAACAAGAAGCTTAAGTTTTAGGAATGACGTTCTGATCTTCATGATTTCTATGGAAAACTTATTTTAATCTGTGACAATGAGCCTTTAGAAGCGTTTCGCTAACTAGCTTTGGGATAGATCAGCTAATGTTGGCAGGAAGTATATATGGAACCTCGCGCTTCCTTATTAATTCTGAAAACTCCAAACACTTATGTTGCCTTTCGAAATACAAAAGAAAATAAACTTAGTAATTGGTTTTGTGATCAGAATTAGGAAATTCTCTAATCACAATAAGCTTCTGAGGTGATCGAGTACATTATTTTTTAAGTCTGTTGATGGATCGGTCAACAGAAATATTCTAGAAAAGTACCTTTCACAAAAGGTGAAAAATTATAAGGGAGGAGCAGCTACGAAGGACACGGCTTTTTGCTTATAAGTGGTGGGCTGAAAGAGACTTTTCCCTCTGCGCGACCAAACATATCCTTGGAAGAAGTTTAAAACTTTGTATAGCTTTTATGTGAATGAGGTCAAAGTAAAAGCTCTTTCCGATCGTCGCTCGCCAATATAAACCAGTGGGGATAAGAGTGCTTTTACTCAGTGCGCTCCTAAATTAAATCCATAGAAAGCTTTAAAAAGCTCTCTCGTTGGATATATTTTGGCCGTAAAAAGCTCAAGAAGCATTTGAATTCGTCAAGCAATTCGCCCGTGAGTGATCTATAAAACCTAGAGAAAGCTTAAAAAGAGATTCACCTCTAATCCTTTTTTAAATGTGTATATATGTTAAGCGATATTACCTGCATAGAGTTTTTTCCAGGGTTCGTTTAGATAAAGTGCATATATAGCTTTAAGAAACTTTGCATAGGTACCATCAAACCAGTGAATGCTCAAAACAGCGCCCGTGGGCGGAACCCTTCAAAGCTCTCTGTAGATTTTATATGCGCGCGCACAGAGTATAAGCTCTCTACGGGCAGCTCAAGGCCGGCGGATAAAGCTCTCATACGGATATTTGGATGCGCAGAGAGTAAAAGCTCGCTCTGAACATCTCCGATTTAAGCTCATAGAGTCAAAGCCTTCTCTGATAGTCATTACTTTAAGCTAGTCCCTGCCTAAACATATCCCTTAGTGGAAATTTTTTAAAGATTTCTATAAATTTCATATATGTACATATGTTGGCGCTCACAGGTTAAAAGCTCTAACTGATCGCCACTTCTTAAAATTATGTAACTGGAGTATTTTTAAACGGTTCTAATTTTCAGAAAATGCTTTCTCTTAAACTTATTTTTTCCCTATTAACTTTTGCCATCTAGCTATTTGTTACTCATTTGTTGCGAGTTTTTTTTGTATTCAATTCATTGTATCCATACTTGGTTGGAAATTAAATTTCATTGCGCAGCCATAACTCACCTTCAAGCGCGCCAATTGCGAACCACTGAACGCCGTCCGCGGTCGTTTATCCTCTGCGGTGGCGGCGCCACTTCCACCGCTTCCACTGCCATTCGATGCGCCACCGCCGTTGCTGCTGCTGCTGCCCTTCTCACCGGCTAGCTTCTTGGGCTTACGGGCGCGTGGACCTGCCAAAATAAACAGAAAAGGAAAGAGAGCAATAAGTACTAGGAAAGAAAAAGGGAAATAAGAAGAACTAAAACCAAGCTAAACCGCTCGAAACTAAGCGGCTGGCAACAATGTATCAGTGGCTAGAGTAATCCATACGCGCTACGCGTAGTAGTGGAGGCGCATTTAATTGAGCCAGGACTCGCCGCACAATTACTAATACCGGCGGCATACATGCAACTGCGAGTATGTTATGCGCCGCAAGCAATTGTGAATCACCAACATTCTACTAAATTTCCTGTGTCTAAGGGTTGCACACACTTGTGTATAAATACGCGTAGATATGTACAGCCGGAACATAAAAATTCCATTTGCCAAATAAAATAGATGCGCGTAATTGCGCCACAATGACTGGACGCTATCGTCCGTTTGTTCGTTAGCTCGTTCGGTTGCCTTCATTTTCGGACACTACCTTTGTTCGTTTCAACGCCTGCCTGCTTTTCCCGCATCGCCCATCGAGCGTCTGCATAAATTTTCGCGGCATCCACGCACGAACTTGCAGCCAAGATTTATGAGGAGTTAAAAATTACACGGCAAAGTCGAAACGGTAACGCCAATGAATTGTAATCGTCTAAAGTGGCAAATTTGTTGCTGAATTCAGCAGCAAACAGGGGGGGGAGAGTTGTGGGGGAGAAGTTCCTTCACCACTATTTGGTGGCGCATTTAATTCAAATGTTAAATAGTCAAACTTCCGGTTGTCTTTCGTTGTGTTTTACTTAATTTTGCGTTTTGAATAATTAAACTTTCCACTTTTTCTGCGCGTCATCGTACTTTGGTTGAACTTTGGCTGTGACTTGGCATAGTCATCACCCGCACACTCGGAAAGCAATCAAAGATGATGACGATCCATTGTAGTGGGTTGGTGTTGAACTGTCGAAATAGCAACTGTGGCTAATTTAATGCGTGAAAGAAGCGTTTAAATTAAATTAGAAATTTTATGTTTTCATTTGAGAGTTTTTGCTTTCGCTTTTGCGGGTTTTCAAAAGGTAGCTTTAAAGCGAAGGCAGCTGCAAATTAGGTCCCGTAAGGGACCTTTGCTTCATTTGATGAAAAAAATTAGATTTACTCGACTGTTCGAAGCGATTTTTTTTAAATCGGCACTATAAAAGCATATCCAAAAAGTCGACAGATTCACAATCGTATAAAAGAAGGGGGACAGAAATATCATTATAGCAGCAATGAACAGAGAGAGCCTTTACGCTACAACCGTCCTTAGGGGGCGCTGGCATCACCGACACTATAGACCGAGGGCGTCGATTCTTCCCTTCTTCCAAATCTAAGGTGTCCATGCCTAATGGAGGGTTTGCAGTCAAGCCCATCCGAGTTCATTTTAAAGGAACTTCCCATAGGCATATCGAGTCAGCCGTCCACAGTCAAGGAAGTAGTGGCTCGCGTGAAAACCACCTCAGGACAGCTTTAAAGCAGTTAATTTTGGGCACAATAATGGCACCCAAACTTTCTTGACGGGCAAAACAGTTATCGACTACGAGTACTAAGCCGGCCGATAGTAGCACTCATTCACCTCTCAGTGGTTCAAGAAGATAAAAAAAGTTTGCCCCGCAGTCAGGGTGAAGCGGGTTAGCAGAGCTGCTGATGTGAAAATTCGGAAACGGCCCTGAGCCTGTTAATTTTAAAGATTTGGTTGAGAGGTAAAATACATTCTCTTTGAAAGCCGTGCCCCGACTTAAGAGAGGGTTACCTCGAAAAAACCTCAACTACCTGGTGCCGCTGCAGACGAGATATGGCCTTCAAAAGCCAGGGGCTGGCAGATAAAGCTGAAAAAGCTCATCCTGCGGACAAGATGGTGTACAACGCAGCTTTACAGTTAACGATTTTCGATCGGGTTTTTTAAACGAATGAAGAGACTAAGGGCGTTTAGTTTAGAAAAAAGGCAGTTGTTCTTTGAACTTTGTTCAGTAAACGAATTTCCAATGGTAAAGATTCTAGGCGACAGGCGCCTTACTAAGAACCTGGTATTGGCAAATTACTGTTGAAACTTTAAATTTTTGTCTAAACATGAAAATTCCATAGATGCTCTCTCGAGTGAGGTATATCTCAACTTTTCAGTTGTGCAAGTAAGAAATCAGTCATCAGGCATAGGGGAAGGTATTATCTCTAAGCACCAACCCCTACTAACTCTGTGCCTTACCGACCCCATACCGCCTGAACTCTAATTTCTTCCTACGCGAGAATGGAACTTAGTGTTTGGAATTGACGCAATTTGGCCTGAAAAAGAAACAACTAATGTGCTATTTAGGATTCACCTTTCGGATGCGCAACTCATCTAATTATAGGGATTAGTATGCAGGAAATCAGATTAATAATCTGGAGATCTTAGGATTTTTTTTGTCGGAACTAACACTAAACAGTGCGTACAGAAAACAGTACTCAGACTACCCTGAAGGCAAACCTCTCACGTCCACGGTAGGTAGGTACTTGGTAGGAGTTCAGCAAGAAAAAATCACTTCAGAACAATGCAGCCATAGTCACCATACTAAAATTTCAAGAGTTACTACTTCCTCTGCCTTAAAGAACCTGTATTAGCCTATTTTGAGGGCTTCGAAAAATCAGTTTGTTGGAAAGAACTGGAATAAGGACATAAATAGCCCAAAGCAATAAAAAAATTTTGAACCGGAAAATAGTCCTGCAATAAAAATAACACGGATTTATTGGACAGCCCTCGTATCTTTTGAAAGATTTCATCAGATAAGAGATGCACTTTGGCAAATTCTGGCAGCTAGTGTTTGCATTAATTTAAAAATTTTGGCAAAAAACGCCGCTCAGGCAGGCAGTTCTGTCTGATCTATCAACCAACCCCTTTCGCTGCTTGTCCAAAAAGAGATGTTCGTACTTTAATTAACAGTTAAATGTTGACAAGCATAACAAATAAGCGCGAAAGAGTTGACAGAGGACATTCATGGTTTAAATAAGGGAGCGAAAAACTTCCATAATAACAAAGCTTATCTTTGATTATGCAATGTAAACTGTAACTATGTAAATTCCGATTTGCCCAAAGTTAAGTAATGAAATTTTATTGCGCCACAATGGATTGTCACCCTTTTTGTGGATGGGAGGAGGTGAGTGAAGATTTGGAGTTGATAGGCAGCCGCAAAATTGCCGTAGAACGTATTAAGCGCCAAATATTCAAAAATAATTGGGCCACAAGAATTTAAATTTGCTCGCCAGCTCAATGAACGGCGAATCGGCTGGATACTTGTTTGAAATTCTGCCTTTTGAAATACTGAAAAAGGCTTTAAGCACAAAGCAAAGAGTGGGTGACCTTTATGAATTTCTCCTTCCATTATTTATTTCTTATAACACTTATTTGTGTACCCATACATTGGCATAGTAAAATTTTTGACACTTAATTTCGTTGTCCTTCACACGACAAACAAAAAATCCTAATTGCTTTCCATGGAAAATGTCCAATGTCGAGTGTGAGCCGTGGAACAAGTGAGTGAAAGTTACTCCTTTATTGAAATAGTTTGGCGAAAATGAAGCAATTTCGACAGCCACTAATGGGCATTTTTGGTTGCGACTTTTCAACTGGCGGCCAAGCAAATGTAAATGTAGCATGC